CACCTTATTGCCCCTGATAATAATCACTATTCTAATGACCTTAAGCCTCACACAGTTATGAAGGGATATAAGCATGAGAAAAATCAGCCACTATCTCCAGGCACCTAGCTCGACGTAACATTGGGCATTAGTTTGAGGCAAATAATAGCTAGTCTTCCCCTTAACTGGCTACTCTTGCCTAGGGAAATGGTGGATGGTATATTTATGTATATTTGTGATGGGATCTCGTAAGGTCTTGAATGTGAGAATGCATGTAATTACAGTGTAGCACGTTAACGTAGGCCTAACTTCACTGGCTCACCCTCAAGAGTTTGCCGCATTTGATTGCTGTAAAGCAGATGAGTATCAGGCTCTGAGCTCAATATAGGGGTTGCCCTGACTGACATGGATACTCAGAATGAAGCGGAAAGTGATGTTCGGAAATTGATGTCAAGTTTGGGGGCCGCATGCTTATGCTTATAACATCTCTTCACCTATTGGCTCTAGTGGACAGAAACAAGTGCATTTTGTTTGGATTTATCGAAGAGATATCAACTGTTGAGACCTATGGATATTGAGTATAGGTGAGAAGAAGATTTGATCATCATTCGTCTTCTGTTTTTCCGCAGACCGCTTCTCGCCCTTGCTCGACTCCGTCTTACTAGCATAGTTTCAGCTTGCACTCTTATAAGTAGGCCAATCAACGAGGACCATATTATCTAGAGAAGAGCTAGTAATAAACCTTGATATTGATCTACTCTTGACTACCAATCGCGACACAAGAAGACGTAGCCCTCTTGTTGCCTTACTCTAGCGGCCGAGACATCCCAGGACATCCCAGTGAATATGTCAACCATACCAGGGAGTGATGCCACCATCTCACAGTCAACTTACGCTGGAAGAATATAGTAAGGTCCAGGGGTAGTAGGCATCTAGTTGACGGGTTGAGCAGTTGTGATAGAGGGTGGTGGCAGCTCAATAGATTATAAGATATCAACAAATGATTGGACAAGGGCTTTCAACCTCGTGACAGTCAGAGTTTGACCAGCTGAGTAACCCGCTAAGTCTTATGCCTTGAAACTAAATCTGCACTCAATAAGCGGAGTTCGAGTAACCATTATTCAAAGAATTAAATTTTGATTCGATGGCTACTTCTCGAAGAGTCTTGATGTGGTGCACGTGATGGGTGATAATACATATTCGTGCCGGTTATAACATTTGGCTGCTACAGCCTGGCTGTGGCGATCAGACGTGACTCAGAATCGAAGCGGTGAGCTTTGGTATATACGTTAGCAGCGGTGACCCTAGCTAGTCGGTGAATGGGGGTGGCAGCTTATGCGGATGTTCTCACTTACTGTTCACCAACAGATCAGCCATGACTGAAAACTCTGAAGTCGAGGCGTACCAACCGAGATGCAGCCTACTGTGCTTGTGGGACATTGAGATAAAGAAGACGGTATCTCGCTTATTGCATTGAGGTCGTGTGACTCTCACACTGACATCCAAAGCGTACACCAAAAGCACCAATAAATGGTCCAAATAGGTCGAGGTTGCCTTGAACAGAATGAGGAACATTTAAGGTGTGTCCGACATGAATATTGGTGTTAGCGAGCCATGGAGCAATGATGGTGTGAATGGCATACTGAATATTTCTGGAAATGGACATGATGTTCTTGGTGTAACGAGCTGAATCCGTCGCAACCACACCATCCAATGAGATGGATAAGAACTGTCGGTGGATCTAGAGCCATAATGGCACTTACCATTCTTTTTTCCTATTTCGCTTCCGAGCGGAAGGGTAAGTACGTGCAGGTGAGGACTCCTAGGACGGCGTCAAGTCACGGGGCAATTGCCACCGAAGATTGCATTCGGGATGGCCGTGATGTTGGCTACGAAGTAGGTATGTAGCGAGACTGGGCCTTCTTCGGCCAGGTCCGACGCCAAAAATCGCCGTTGATAACGTGATAGGTCGTCTGAGATTGCCTGGATTGTTATTCTGCCGAGGTCCTCAGGATTCATTGTAAGTAAGCGCACAAGATATTATAGACAATTCGCTTAGGTTTACTTCTTTGACACGCTCGCGCAAGACTGGACACAGCGATGGTGGAACGATGACACTGATCTGTTCCCACGGCAAGCGGCCATCGACGACGTGAACGCGTCAACATGGAACAAGAATTGCGCACCAAAAAATAGCTCATCTGTGCTGCTAAGACTGGTAGCAGCTTGTCGCCTGTCAAAGACATCGTTCGGGCTCACGCCATCACAGACGCAGTCAGCCTAAAGAGCGAATACAAAGGTATCGGCTGGGCGTTGCTGGAGGCGAAGGTTCCCAACCACCTGCATGGAGAAACTGATACCAATAGTAACACGCAATGGGTACCGTAAGGGATCAAAAAGGTAATAAAATGGATAGGTATCCTATATCGGCCCCAATCAAAGAGGTAGATAGATGACGAGGGTCCAGCTACGTAAGAGAGGTCGTGATACAGTTGAAGGCAATCGTCACGAGGCCTTCATTTCATTTCCAGATGGTGGACCCGGAGAAAGTAAGAGATGTTAGTATAGAAGGTGCTTACCGATCAAGCTTGACTACATAACGGGCTGTCTGTCGTATATAAGACGAAGATACATGAGGTACAGCAAGTGTAGGCATAGTAAGATATGTATGTTCTCTCACGGAACAGCCGGGCAGGAGGGGGACATGGGATCTTCAGCAGCAACCCAAACTCCGACAACGCCTATGGAATCAGTGACATCATTTGTCAGACGGATTGGGGGTTCTTCGCGGAATAGCACTCTCATTGCCTGCACACATAACTTGAATGGGACTCTGTAAAGAGACGTCGATCTGTCGCTTACCGGTACCTCTTAACAGGAAGCGCCGGGCACAACCCAAGCACCCTCGGCACCCTTCGTCCTGTTTGACGTACCTACTACAGCAACATTTCAGTTTCGGCCCCCACATGTACTATATGTAGGTAAGTAGGCAGGCAAGAGGTAGGTCGACAGTTCTCCAGCCAGAGCCTCATTGGGGACCGTGAAAGGCTACCTATTTATTGGCTCACAATTCCTGACACAGTGACGGGTGTTTTAGCAGGAAAACTTACCTAACCTGCAATTTCCACATTGGTCAACCAAGGAAGCAAGGAAGAAAAGGAAGCAAGCGCTTCGGCTCTGCTGGAATACGATCCCCATCTTCGGCCCATCTCTGGCCCATCTCTTCGGTGAGAAGCCTTCTTACATGTCGCATTCCTTCTACTGTCTGCCTAAATTGAATGTGAACTACACCTGGATACCTACCTCCTCTCCTAGGACCCAACCACTGGCCACCTGATGCGCTAGTGACCCGATGCCTTGTTTCTGGGTTCGTACAGAGTTCATTGTCGATATTCCGGGGAGAGGCTCGCCACCCGGTATCAGCGTGTAATGGACCTAGCCTGCCTGCTCTTTGATCTATCGGATGACTCCCTAGTGGGCTTTTTCGGGGATATGGTCACAGTATTTCACTATCAGTGGTGTCGGGTTCGCGATGCGATTGGGGATGAAGCGTCGTCAACTTGACTTGGCTCTGTTGTGGGCAGTGAGTACGGGGACGTGGATATGTGGACAGTTGTCGAGCAGCGGGGTTCATTGGGGGTGGTCATTTGCGTTTGGTTGGTTGGTTGGTCCGTTCTTTCGTTCGTGTATTCGTTGGGTTGTTTGTTTGTTGATATGATAGTTGTTTGCTTGTTTCCCTTTCCAACGGTCCCGGGGATGTATGTCCTTGACAGTCCTTGACAGACTGAGTTGTTTGGCTACGGCTTCACTTGTTGTGGACAGGGAGAGATCATGATTGCTTGCTTGATGTTTGGGGAGGGAGGGATGAGGAGGAGGCTTGTGTGTGGGTTGGTTGGGCGGACTGGTTCGCCAGCGCCCCACTTGAGGCTCTTGGTTGCCTTCTTTCACTTTATAGGTACTTAAGGTAGGTACCTACTTACTCAGGTAGGTGCTAGTTAGGTGCTGGATAGGTGCTAGGTAGGTACTTATGTAGGTGTTCAGTGGGTGCTAGATAAGTGCAGCTTTCTGCTCACAGGCTCCAGAGAGCTCCAGAGACAGAGATAGAGACAGTGACAGTGACAGTGACAGAAAGAGAGAGAGGGGTGGCCCTAAGGTGAGGTACTACTGTAAAGTACATATAGGTACACTTGTACCTGCCTAGTTACTTGATGTAGCGCTCGCGTAGCGCAGCACACACGCCCCAAGGCCAGGGAGAGACATCAACAACACTGCATCCTCCGCCCTGCATTGAAACCAAGGGGCCGATGTCCAGCCATGTATCCCTGAAGTACGCCTGTTCCAGTTTCCAGTTGCCGTTCCATGATTGATTGCCCTGTGCCTACCGAAACCACTTCCGCCTGGCAACTTGGTCCGCGGTCATCGAGAGAGAGTTCATAATCCATCGAGACGCAATGGCATTTTGACTCTGTTCTATACAAGTGTCTGCCATTCTCCATCGCCCCTGTTTCGGGACGGCAATTGTGCCATTGATCTCATTGATCTCATTGATCGCATTGACCCATCCACCCATCCATCTTTGCCTGCGAGTCGATTCATTACCGAGTGCGCTCTCTTACACGTGCGCGCCCACGCACACACACACGTTTTATCACCGTATGCTTCTTCTTCTCATTCTTCTCATTATATCAATCCCCCCCATCGGTATCTCGCCGTCAATTGCATGCTGACAGAATCTCGTGTGTAGACTGGAGTGAAGCCTGAAGCTTGTGGCTTTATAATTAGTCCATGACCTCTGCCTGGTCTGGACGTTGCCACCTGAGCACTTACGTTGCATACGGTTTTTTTTTGTCATTTTAGCCACACCAGTCTTGCTGCCTGGAGAGCAAACACATACCCGCGGCAGCTTATAGGTCTTCCTTGGCATCTTCATTGTCGTTTTCAGCAGCTAGAGCGCACGCTGCGTTTCTGCTCCCATATCATTTTATCATCTTGTTTTGAAACCCTTCCGGAGTTGAGAGACCATGGCGGATCCCAAGGAACCAGCTATTTCCGCTTCCTTTATTAGTCACTTGCGGCAGTCTTCGCGGATCACGTGCCCCATGGTGGGTTGTGAAGACCAATATCCTGCAATTGATGATAGAATACGGGATCACTTCAAATCAAAACACGGCGAATTCATACAAGGAAAAGATTTTAGCAGTCTCATACGCGATGTGAAGAAGGGACGGTATGTACTCATTGCCCTGCCTCCCTGAACATCACCAGAGTAGCTAATGTATGTGAGTTCATAAGGATTCCTGGGTCCAGGGGCGTTGAGCCTTTGTCTATAAGAGATCCCGGAGGCGGCGGCTCATCTGGGGCTCAAGGGATGCCGGATGAAGCTGGTCCAAGTGCGTATAAGAGGCGTAATTCCCCAGGAAAGCAACCAAGGCCTCAGTCGAACAGCCCACCTAGGAGGTCCCGGGCCCGCCCTGACCCTGATTTTACTCGAAGAGCCCCTCAGCAGGGCAAGTTGTGGCATCCAGAGGAAGACCCTAGCTCGTCACCCTATCGGACAAAGCAAAGTTCATCTAAGCCACTCAAGCATACGCCAGCTCCCAAATCAGCCGACGCTTATGAGGAAGATAGTGAGGCCCTTCGACTTATCAAGCAGCCCGAGACCCGGCCTATCAGTCAGGAACAGTTAGTCGCAGAAGTGAAAGGCATCTACGCTGGGCTGATGATGGTCGAATCGAAATGTATTGAGGTTGATAACGCACAGTCTTCTAACGTTGAAACTAAATTAAATAACGAACAGTGGCAAGCCCTGATAGCTCTGCATCGTACGTTGCTGCACGAGCATCATGACTTCTTTTTAGCATCTCAGCATCCCTCTGCGAGTCAAGCGTTAAAAAGATTAGCTTCAAAATACGCAATGCCCGCTCGGATGTGGCGACATGGAATTCACAGTTTCCTCGAATTGTTACGGCATCGTCTTCCGGAGTCTCTCGAGCATATGCTAACGTTCATTTACTTGGCATACTCGATGATGGCTCTTCTATACGAAACGGTCCCGGCTTTTGAGGATACGTGGATTGAATGTCTAGGCGATCTGGGTAGATACAGGTATTATTTATCGCCTCATCTGTGCTCTCTTACTCTAACATTTCCTATTATAGGATGGCTATAGAAGACGAGGATATCAGAGATAGGGAAGTTTGGACATCGGTTTCCCGGCATTGGTATTCGAAGGCTTCTGATAAAGCACCGACAACAGGTCGTCTCTATCATCATCTTGCCATTTTGGCCAGGCCGAACGCTCTTCAGCAACTCTTCTTTTATACTAAATCATTATGTGTGCCAATACCCTTTGGTTCGGCTAAGGAGTCAATCATGACTCTATTTGACCCAATCCTCGGGATTGGTAATTATCATCATAACCGCCTAATTCCTATTGACGTGGCGTTTGTTAAAACTCACGGTATCTTATTCAGCCATAAAAAATTAGATATCTTCCGCCCTGTTGCAAGTGAATTCTTAGGGGCGTTGGATAACCATATCGGTCGAATTGCGAAGCGTTGGATGGAGGCAGGCTACTACATCGCGATCGCTAATTGCTGCGCTCTTCTATCATATGGGAAAGATGACAATATCATCATGAGGGCGATTCAGAGCCAGGGGGACGAGAAACAGGATTCAGCTGCGGGATCAGGAGCTGATACTTTGAATCCATCGAGGGATTTCGAAGATGCACTGTACCTTGCCATGGGAACACATGAAGTAGTCTTCAAGCGGTGCGACGACGCCAACGTGTTACCGTATACTCACGTCATCATGGTGTTCATTTTTTACCTCATACGTTTTCCTAACGTTATGGAACATCTTGAGCCTCAATTTCCATGGAAATTGCTTTCAATCCTGCTCAATGGGCTCCTTGCTACCTATAACAGCTACGATCGCATCCGCAGCGCTGAGTTCCCAAGGGAGAGCAATGACCCTCCCCGGCCCGTGCCAGAGGACTTCGCCCTCGAGGGCCTTCTCTTCGTCGACAGCTATTTTCCCTCAGATTGGTTCGTCAATGATAAGATTGACGACGATGAGAAGTACTTCGAGATGGCCTCGATGACGGATGTCAGGAAGGAGAGAATATTATGGTTGGGTTACAAGATCGCCCAATCTGGTAGAGGGTTAACATACGACGAAGGAACAAATACGTTCGGTGTATTTCCTCAGTATGAGAAGGAAATGGATGCGATCTCCAGAAATGCTAATAGCATGAATATTTCGGACGAGGCGGGAGATGCAATGGATATCGATGAAGCACCAGCAACCACAACACGGTAGCAACAATGCAGAACAAAGTTATACAATTATATGTTTGTTTTTTTCAACGCAATCGTGCCAACTTCTTTTGCTTGGTATGCAACTTGTGTGCATATATGCTACTCATTCAACAACAACAACTAACTAACACTTCGAGCATGGCATGGCAATGATCAAGTTTCAACACATGAAGTCATGGAATCCCGACTACATACCCTTTACCTAGAGCCAAAGGAGCACAAATTGAGATCAAAATTCGCCATACGTCAAGAAGCTCCCTCATTCCATCCATCCACGCTAACCAGGCGAGCGCAGTTTTTTTTTTTCTGGCATTTTCTGTTGGTGTTAGTAAGGCTGCACAGCCTTGCATGCATCCATGTTGCATGGGAAATTATTCCTTCTTCCTACAAAACTACTTACTTACTCGGTGGCGGTGGTGCGGGGGTTTGAATCGGAGGCGTTCAGCTGAGACTTGAGTCTTCGGGCGAGGTCGAGAATCCGTCTCACACCCTTTTTTCTTCTTCTTTGCCTATCTCAGCCGTAACTAGGCAACTGCTGCCTATGCTTATTGATCTATTTTTTTTTTTTTCTTCTTTCCTTCTTTCTCCAAATTCAATCCGAAATTTACGGAGTTGGAAAGTGAGATTTTGCCGCAAATCCGAAGGGAGGAAGAGGAGGGAAATAAAGTACGGGCTCAGCCACGCGCGCGTGACGAATCTTAGATCGGAGAAGCTGCGTGTACACCTGCCACACACTTATACTACGACGCAACACAAAGTATTTAATCATCGTCACGATATCCGAAGATATGAAGTCGCCACGGAGTAAAGGGGGTGTTGCACTCTGGTTGATTGGAAACAGGAAACCGAGAAGTAGGCAGGTAATCATTTTTTGTCACAAGGCAGCCAATGCATGTGTCGGGTCATTAAGTGACAGGGGTGAAGGAAAGGAGAAGGAGGTGGTGGTGGTGGTGGGAGAGCTAACGTCAGACGGGCTCTAACACCAAAGATTGTGAGAGAAACCAGAAAGGGTGGGCATGGTGACTTGTATTGGCAGAGAAGTTCTCTCTAGGCAAATCAAGTTTAATGTCATTTTATTCCTAGATTAGTTGCCGTTGCTTTTTCTAGCTTGGAAGAAAAGAGGCAAACATCTACCTAGTAAATGTCTCCGAAAATGACGACGTCTTATGTGGTAGTATCTGGCCTGTCTGAGCAATGCTCAGTGGCGCGCTGCAGCTGAGCTACTGTATCGACCCCCTACTCATCGGGTGGTGGTATTCCCCATCCTTTTCAAGACCTAGCCCACCTAGGCGAGATAAGAGGAAGCTTGCGATTGTAAGCACTATAAGAGATGAGTTTGCTTACCGAGATTTGATAATTCCTGCGGCTCGGTAAGGATAATACCTAGGAATATAAGCAAAAAGAACCCAACCCACGAAAAAAATAGACCGATGAATTGGAATACCGCGGGTTCGAAACGGTGATCTTACTCATCCATCGTAGATTGGCGAGAAGGCTTGCTTGGCTACGGTCGTCGACCCCTTGAACAGCAATGCGTACTTAATATATTTTGTGGTCTCGCAGGGAGGACCTTGATTCGGATGAATAGTAAACGATAATTCTATGCATGTTGAATGCGCACAGCGACGCAACCCCAACTTTCCTTTCCTTTCCGATTCAGCAGAACAAGGAGATACTTACCATACTCAAACCATGCATGCAATCTTCTCAGCAGCCCACATACTAGTATTGCTAGGAACCTTGGGGCGTCCATAGCTGCAACGGTATAGTTGCCGTCACATGTGCAATTCGATGCTCAACACGTAGGATTCGTGCACGAGAATGGGTTCTCACCGAAATAATGCATAAACAGGTAGCCTGCCCCATAAGACGACGTAATAAACCCGCAACACAAACCGACTAAATAGCGTTCGGCTTGGTAATGTGATAATGATGATGGAGGTGCGGGCGACCTGGCCATACTTTGCGAAAAGGTGTGTCTTCGAGAAGTTTTCTGAGCAAGTGGGTGCGAACTAGCCCACTAGTGTAGACACTCTGTGGGATGCAGCAGATGCATGGATTGATACCTCGATAAATAGTGTCCGAAAGCGGGAGAGAGGACAGCGAGACGCAATTCGCCCAACGGCAATGTAGGACTAATTGTTGGAAATAAGCAAGCTGCATGGGGGCGTTTTCGCTAGATGCTCGTGCGGACGCCGTAGCCTTCTAATCAGATCAAGAATCATGTTGCGGGGACGGTGAATGAAATGAGCAACCTGGACGTAATGTTGCATGGCATGCACATGTAGGCAGGCTGCCTACTACCAAATAAATGCATGAATTCTCAGGTCTCTGGTCAGGTGCTTTTGGAGCATTCATCCAAAGTAATGAATGGCGTGCCAGGATCTCACTTTTCCGAGTGTCGGGTAATTATGACGATCAGAGAACGAGAACCAGCTCGACGGGTATTATAATTAGACTGTGGAACTGCTGAGCGCCAACGGGTTCGTCTGATTGACGACTTACAGGACACGGAGCAATGAAAGTGTATGTGTTCACCTGCGCTAGGTTAAGTAGCTATCCGAGAGTACTTACTGTGTATGTCGATACCCGTGATGGCGATTCAATCGATGTGGTTCGCATTGACTGCGGGGTAATTACATACAGCTAAATGCAATACATATGTAGGCAAAACTTGTCGTGTCTATCAGCCTACCTAATTTAGTGAGACATGCATCATAACATGTACGCTAATGAATGGGGTCTAATAGACTTACTCTATAGACAATATGGCGTAGTCGCCTTGTTTGCCTTCAACAAGGCAGGCTGTTAATCCTTGAGGTTTCCATTGTAAATCCACTCGATACCGTGTCCTAGTCGGGTTACCGGCACCCGTGCTTATCATACGGCAAAGGGACGTGATTTTCGGTAAGGGCCATAAAAAGCAGTTGGCCGTCTCATGCTGGTGAATAAAGCTTGGACATAACACGCAAGGTTCTTTGTTGCCTCTCGTTCGGCGCAACAACAAGTGATTGAATAGCCTATAAGATGTCAGCACACTGTTTTCAAAGCCTTGTTTGACCGCCGTCGTATCGTGAAGGATGTTGGCAAGGTGCCAGCCACGAGGAATGGGTTATGTATGGAATGAAGAAATCCTGTCAGCAATGTCTGCCCATTGAGACTGAGGAGATGAGATACAGCCCGTAGATAGATTCTGCGTCAGGAGGGCGCGGCACAGCGATTGTACTGAAATTTTCCACACAATATATCCTGCAGGCCTTGAAGGGGGATTATGATACTGCGGCGAAGCAGGCGGTGAACAATCTCAAAGTAGCTTCAAGTACCCAAGGACTTCAAGTGACTACTTGGAGAGCCTTGCTCAGCGCAAGTAAGAATCGTGAGAGAGTAGCTCTATGGATTGCGACCGGCTACACCAATGCGCATCTCTGTCTTCGTCTGTCGGGCGCGTTGCCTTCGTCGACCTTACACGAGACTGCTGTGCAACAGGCGTGGGTCTCAGACACTATGTACTACTCGCGGGCTCTTCCTTCGAATTGTCTTCCCAGCTGGTTGTCTGATGTCGGAGAGCTATGATTCGGGGGACTCCACATGCCGTCCGAGGTAGCATGATAAGAGCTCGACGGGACTCGCCATCATTGTTGTGCGTAGACTTCGCCGAGAATCGAGGTACGGTGGTACGGAGCAAGGGCGGAGAGAACGGAGAGAACAGATGAATATGAGAACCATGAGACATATCCCAAAAGAGATATTATTAGAATTCAATCCAATTCTTTCCATGGGCGAGTCAAATGTGACGAGAGGGCGCCAGGCAGCGTGTGGGCTGTACAAACAGAAGAAGTGTTAAGCAATGAGGAAGCCCGGCGAATGGACTGGAGACGAATTAGCAGCCTTCTATGACGAGAAGGAGCCACCACCCCCTTACCTGCGTGCCTACCTACCCAGATAGAGTTGCTGCGCCTTCCAGTACCCGTCGCTCCAACCATTATCCGTGTTTATACCCGAGTTTGTAAGTCGAGCATCGCTCGCGCTTCTTTCCTTGGGGCTGAAGACTGCTTAGGTACGCCCGTCACTTCTAAGCGGTCGCTGCTTAAGACACCTTATCCAAGATAGCAGCGATTGAATATGGTGTCTAGGAAAGATTCCAAGGGCCCAAAACGGAAGGGTAGAAGGTAAGACAGGAGCCTTTAATAGTAGAGCTGAGCCATTATACGATTAGATAATTCCCACCCGGCATATGGGATGTCGTCCCAGTCGATGCTGTTGAAACCAAGTCATTCCGGCAGGCAACGTGACTTGGCTAGGATCGCGAAACAACTAACTTCAACGCATCGGCGTACAGAAGTATCGAGAGCTAGTGTAAATGGCGGTATCTAATTAGATCTAGTCAGTTGTTGAATCGGTTCAAACTTGCCATCCCTCGTTCTTCCCGCGAGGCACGGGGTAACTCTTGTAATTTGGACGCGGATGCGTAAGGTACCTATATGGGGATAGGAGAGGGACTGCATACCTAGGTAGCGAGCGATGTACCACCACCACCACCACCACGGTTGCAGTTATAGTATAGTTATCATCGCAAATATAAATATTTATGGTAAGATGATGACCTTGACGCAGAATGAGGAAACCCCAGTAGCAGCTGGGACAATTGAAAGGTTGAAACCCATCATACAGTCCTAAGCATACAACATCATCGCCTAACATCCACCGAAGGGGGAAGAAGTTGCACTTCTAATAACAGACAGTTGTAGAAACCACTCACCATTAATATAGAATTCCATCGTCTGTCTTCTTCTGATGGGATGTCAAGAGCACGCCTTAAGGGGTATCACACGCTAGCCATCCCTCACCATTAGCAGAAACGAAGCAACAGACGGCTCATACCTACCTAGGCATACCCTGTCGTCGTTAGGCAGCAATGTCTATGCAGATACCCAACATGAAAGGTATCAGAAAGGGACAGGCGCGCTCGTCACGTTCCGAGGCATAGACTAGAAAGTAACAAGATACTGGTGGAGTAGTTATGCTTGGACATGAGAAATACGCTGAGGATAGAGAGAGGAGGTTCATTAAGTTTGAGAGAACGGTTCCGTAGACCTCAGTATACCAGGTATTAGATCTGTTCCGCGGAGAAAGTGGTGCAACGGGATTTGTATGCGTTTGGGGGTAACACAACGACCCTGTAAGACCGCCGAACAGTATGCTCTCAGCGCAAACAATGGTGTAACTACCTACCTCGAATTTCTTTCCTAACAGAGAAAGTGTGTGACTCGAAACAGCTTTAAGGGGGAAATAGACATTGATGACGCTAGGGTTCCGACACAACATCACTCGCACGGGGTACCTGCGGCTTTATATCTGAGGTAAGAATACCTTCACTGAGAGGCAAGTAGACGATAAGGATCAGCGATGAGCATGGCATCGATGGAATTGAGTGGTAGATTGGGCCGGCTGCTTCTTAATGAAATTAATGCGTGATCCCACTAGTTAGTTCGCAATGTCGACGTTGCGCTGATGAAGTTCAGTGGTATTCATATTCCATTCATGGCCAACATACAAAAGGAATAGAGTTCACGTTCAGGAGAAGGGCAAATGGCGAATCTGGGTTAGTCGATGGTAGCTTTCATTTGTTGGAGCCGATACTCTTGTTATCGTCAAATTTACGGATCAGTGTACATCTTGGCACCACCAAGCGTCGCAACAAGACAGGAGAGGAAAACCATCGTGTTGACGACGTCCAAGCAATGGTGTTTGCCACAATCATAATCAGTAAAGGAGATTTAAGTCCTACAGGTTTCAATCCCGAGGAAAGAAATGTATTATTCTAGATTGAAAGAGGAGTTCTCGTATATAAGGGGTTCGCCCTCGTATCGAGATACTCGGCATCGGAAAGCAAGGAACATTTGACTCAACCGAAGTTTGACGAGCGCAAAGATACGACATGACGGAGTGGAGAGTGTTGATATGATATAAGTAGCCTGTTTGCTGTATGTGATTTCAGCTTCCATTTGGGAAGCGTATGCGGGTTAATTGGGCAGTCTAAGACGGACGGATGGAAGCTCGAAACAACATGGTTTGAAAACCGATGGAACGAAGGGCCGAGTTCGCAAGTGAAGATGAGGCAATTCGAGGTGACATGCACAGAATATTAGCAAACCTATATTGAATACAACGGTTGTAAGCGGCTCGTTGTTCCGACATCAACTGATGCAGTAGGGGTCGATTCCTGTCCCATCAGACATGATGCCGAGGAGACGGACTATTCTTTCCAAGGCGGCTCCAACATCCACTCCGGCATTTGACGGGATGTATGCAGCGGCGGCTCGCAAGATCAATGCCCCTTCGGAGAGCCGAGCCGGACCCTGATTGACCAATTCCCTTCTCTCTGTCCTTGGCTACATGGCCGATGTGCATTGCGTGCCCTTCTCGTTGTGCGGCTCCAAGCAAGCAGGTCAGAATGAGTAACGAAGCACAGGCCACAGGCCACAGGCCATGGCCCAGGGTACCCCATACTGCCCACAGCGGGTATGCCAGGAACCCCAGCTAGCCTGTGGCGGCAATGGCGGAATGAACAGCGCAGCGGGCATCGACACTATAGGTGGTCTAGCAATCTGCACGCCATCCCATCTTGCTCGCCTGTGACCCCCCTGCAGACCCCCTGTATTCCCCCTGTAAAAACCCCCCTGTAACCCTTCTGCGCAGCATCACACCTAACCTAAGCACATCCTCATATACTAGGTATGATGATTGGCTCATCGTCGACACACAAACCACATACCATACCACATACCTCATACCACATACCTCATACCACATACACAACCGTCGCCAGTTCTCCCGCAACGCCAGCTCATCGAGGCCCCTCTCGCAGTACAATAAGCCCTATCGGACATGCAGCGCAAGAACCGACTCGTTGTAGATGTTGCTACTCTACACTCTGCGAAGTGCTAGCCGTGTTGGGTCCCGCCTGCGTCTTGAGTCTTGACCTATCCTCAAGGTCGCTTCATCCGACAATCTCCCCTTCTAACTTCTAACCCGACACGGCATTTTCCGACCGTTAGTAGGCCGTGTGGCTCGTGTCTCGTGTCTAAATACATAGACAAAGTAGACCTTGTAAACTATGACCATCACCCGCCGCGTCTTGTCACTGTCGTGCCTGGTTCCTTCGTTACCGTCAACAAGCCCCTTAGCATTCTTGGGGAGACACAAGCCCAATTTCCCTTTTCCTTTTCTTCTTGAGCAACTCCACCTTGAGTCTTTCCATAGCAATATATTCAGTACTTGCATACGTAAAGCCAATGCAAGGGAAATGCAGTGTCGAAAGCAATGGGGCACTCGAATTGGGAAAACCCTCCTCTTTGAGCCTCAGTGTTACATCCTTAACGATAGGATGGTTGCATTGAGATGATGCGAGACCCTTAAGGGGCCAGATCTATAGGCTACGTATTGTGTATCGCTCAATAAGAGTTAGCTCCATAGACGTAAGAGCAGGCGTACAGCCAACTTGGGCATTTCGTTGACCGTTGCGGCCCTCTTCCGCCGCTCACTTCTCGCCGCGCAGTTGGCATTTCAGCCGACAGCACCATATGCATAGCGTACATAATATGCAACGTGCCGGCCCCTTTCTATCGTCTCTTTGGAACAAGATTTACTGCTGACTATGATTCTGGGGCGAAGAAATGGTATGATGTTGGAGGTCATGGCATTGTTGGCTCACGGTCATTTCATATGTTGACCTGAACACTCCTTTCCACGACTCTCTTGCGAGGAGCAGTAGATACCTCGAGATACTTGGTTGGTACTTTCCTGAGGACCCAACTGACCCCCCGGCCCATGGATTATCATTCGTTACCGCACCCTCGGGCTCGCGGACTACAGCAGTACGCACAACTCGTGGGTATCCACCACTCACTCCCCTTGAAAACAAGGCAACCTTCGTTAGATCTACCCCCATCATCTCGCCAGGCCCCGGGGAGCCGCAAAGGTCAGGGGGTTTGGTCATTGGAACGATCTCCAGCCTCCTCGGCCTGTGACCTGGCCTATCTCCTCAAGAAACTAACAGCCCTACAGTACCATTGCTGCGGACACTACGTAGGCACACGTCCTATTCCACCTATATATAGGAAGGATGGTACCTTATCGACGGTTCCGATGCTGCGGCTCTGAGAACTGAGCCAACTACATATCCCTTTTGCTCACCATATACCCACCTAGGCAAAGGCGCGCGCTCAGTCAGGCAAGAGAGCGTGATGTGAGTACCCGGCGCTTCCAATGCGGGATTCCACGTCGTATCGGGAATGCTGGTTAATATTTGATGACTCCGGCCCCCAAATTATTAGTTGTATAGCCGCCGACAATAGATGCAGAGTTTTCAAATCCATCGCAACAGCGATATCTTGCTTAGTACAATGATTCTGCTTACCACATGCAGCGCCTGCCTTACCGCTTGTTCGAGTTGTAGCACGTGAGAAGTAGAGTCGACATGAGCCAGCCCCTAAGCCAGAATTCTGCTATCCCTATTAGAAATCTTTCAGTGGTTACACCGATTCTGCCATGATCAGCCACTCCAAACACAAGAATGGGCAATTTTGCTATGATATCAGGTCTCAGGAGACTAATTCTCTCCAAGACGAATTATCAGCAGTTGTCATAACACCTTATCTCCGCGTAAAGCACGTTAAACAATATGATTTCAGTATGTGGTCTCTAAACAGAGTGCATAACACGTCACAACTTCCGGCACCTTGTTGTGAAGTACCCTAACATGGTAGTTGATTAACTTCGTATTGCAACGTGTTCCATCATGTTAGCTGCCGTCGACACCGACTTGACGATAATCCTAACCTCGACGAGCAAAAGGAGAGACACGGTGACTATTCCGAATACATTGCCGAGAAACACTCACTACAAACATTACTTCGACCGACCACGTCTCGAGTTTCATCGAACAACCGCGCCTGTCGTCAACTAACCTTTAATTCGGAGACATGACGCGTGGTAGCGATGCCGTTATCGAAAACAAAGAATCAACGCGAAATCACGATGTTACACTAGCCCCTTAACGCGAAGAGTCCACGATACACAACAAAGTTCTTCAACTATGCAGTCTTTGCATTTCCGACGACGCTTGCACCAGTTTTTTCGGATACCCGCACAAAGATGAAAGAAAGAAACGGATATGTAGATACTTTCGCCGAAGTAGCGTCCACCCCACTCACCTCGACCGATGCACCGAGACACATCATCGCCGAAGAACAGACCTACGACGGCAGGCAACAACAATACACGTCAAGGCGAACGTTGTCTCGGTCCTCTCCACGAATAGTCTAGCAAATCCCCATGCGAGAATAATCGTATCGATCAGACACCGCACAATTTCTAAGACTCTGTCCTATATCGTCACCAATCATCGTGGCTATGGAACCCCCAACATCTACCATGCTCGACGAAGCCTACCCGTGCCTTCCAGCTAGATCTACCAACCATTTTCAAGTCCTCAACTGCCTAGGCACGATCGGCTCGGTGTTCCCAAGTTCACATCATACCAATGAAAGCCTATCGATCTAGACCCTGCAAGTCTCAGGTCGAGGAACACACAACAAGTTTCAGACGAGATATATCCAAGCACCTTTCCGATTTGTAGCGCAAGACACGGCATGCTGATGCAAGACACTGAGCCCGAAACACCGGCCGAGATCTTTTATGACCTTGCTTAGCGCGGCTGTCTATCCCAAGCAAGGACACTACGTGTCACAGTACAGTACTATATAGTGAGTGCAGAGACGTCAAGCCTTCGACTTGATAACTCGTCGTTACCTTTTGGTGGCGTAGTGGCATAGTACTGCACTCCTTATGTCATTCCGTGACACTACGGAAATATCAGAGATTTGATTATTGCGTCGAGAGCCTGCGTAGAGGTCGTACACGCTAGAAACTATTAGACGCAGGTCTCAGCCGCTGATACAGATTGTCTCGATACTCTGGAAGCTCCCAAGGTTGTCATCTTTCAGAACAGTTTCTCCGAACATCTACATAACTCCGAGGGTCATATAAGGCTACGGTGTCTAGAGATTACATTCAAGAGTGCGAGGCGTAGAGAGACTGCTGTTTAAAAAGGGAGATTAGAGCTGCAGGTTGGGTGTATCAACGACGCGAAGCAAGCATTGAAGTGACCGTGTCTAGTTGATCTTGACCTGTCTAAACAGCTGATACATTGCTACAAGATAGTTACTATTATCACACCACCTTAACGGTTGGATTGATATCAAATGATGTTTTCCCCATTTCTTCTCAGCAAAGAGGTCATATATTGCTAAATGGCCCTATATCTATTACCTCCCCCCTGAAACTCCCAAAGTTTGTCAGGCTTTAGATTGGCTGCAGTTTGGGGCCGGTCTGCATTAAGCAGATTGTCAGATAATTACTCATCCAGTAGGAGCGCATCCAAGGTAAGCACTGGTAGTACCATGACTAAGATTCAATGCAGTGGCCAATGAAATCTCAGGTTATATAAGCTCTTAGTTGACTCTAGCAGTGTATCGTATATAAAGAGAACAAAAGGATTATTCTGAACCCTCCCAGCTCTCAAGGCGTTCCAGAGCAGTGCCAACATCTGGTCGCTGCTTGGTCTCAATCACTATCAGTCCGCAGACAAAGTCAATACCGGTTCTTCCTATTCTCCTTTCCTTGTTCAGATTAGTCTTAATACCTTTTACTCTTTCGCGTAGCGCAGGGTCGGATTCCGAGTAATTATCTGTGAACAGGTGCTCTCTCTTTGCCATCCGGTAAACGATGCAACCGAGAGACCATATGTCTACGTTGAATGTATACGCCGTTTGGCGCGCCGCGAGGTAGGATTCATCCCCTTCTCTCCTCCACTGTTCTACGACTTCGGGGGCTTTGTAGCCATTCGTGCCAATTCCCGTTTGGAACACAGTAGTTCCCCTATTTGACAACCGCTTTGATATGCCGAAATCCGCGATCTTGATCCGAGCGGGCTTGGATGATACGACGAGGATGTTCTAGGTCGGTGGCATCGCTTTGGTAAGCAGAATGTCTTGGATCATGAATCTGAACATCAGTTGGGAAATCACACCTACCTGAGGCTTCAAATCCCTATGAACAATGTAGGCCTCGTGCATGAATCGCAGTCCCTCCAGTATCTGCTTTGTCACTGCTCTTATAGCACACTCATTCCATCTCTCTCGATGTTCGCGGAGGCTTTTCTCTAGGTCACCCTCTTCAACTAGTTCCATCGCGACGTACAAAAAGTCTTGTGTTTCATTCCATCCGTAAAATTCGACAAAGTGTTCCGGAGACAACTAGAGCAGGAAGAGAGAGGAATGGAGTTAGGTCAATGTACGCCTAGTCTAGGCAATTTCGGCCTCTGGGTTTAAGCTCACCTTTGTTAGTTTGTTCGATATCGTCACCTCGGCCAAGAACCTGAGTTTTAACCTGGGTGACTTGTATATGCGCTTGATGGCAACCTTCTTCTCTTTCTGGATTCCTACATTCGGCCCTTCAACGCTATACACCCTTGTCCATGGTAAATCAGCTATCAACGTCGCTTCTTTAATAGAATCTTTCGTGATGGTTGCCCTTCTGAAACCTATTATTATGTTAATTGCGATTTGAAAGCTATTAGCGAAGGACAGCCGAGTCTTACCTTCAATCAAGCCGTCACGCTCCAGCACAAAGGACACCTTCTCCACGTCCACGGCATCAACCTTGAAATCCGCCGCCAGCTTGCGCACCTTATTGATTGTTTCTATAAGCTTGGTATCTGTCCATGTGAACGACTGGGCCCATCCCTCCTCTTCACTCCAGTTTAACCACCGATAGAGTGCTCGCGAACAATACGGCACAGTCTTGTAGAATGGGATGGATAGAAGGAGATTTGCCCTAGCTCTGTGCACACCTGTAAGACCAGTTTTCAGAATCTTCATTGCCTCTATGAAGTCTTCATCTTTGCCGGTGCCTGTGATCGTTTCATCCATGTCTCCTTGATTCGATTTCTTAGCTAGCCTGGCAGACTTACGCCTGCTCCCGCCTGGGCCCTGATACCTTTTAAAGGCTTTCTGAGTGACTTTCTCCACTTCTTCTTTATCGTTTTCATGTATCTTTTTGGCGGTACTTTCATGGATGCGCTGATCGAGGGGGGTACCGCGTTTCCTGGACATTGTTAAATCTGACGTTCCTCTGGCCTTATCAAAAGTTTAAATGGACGCGAATTGAAGACAGAGACGTACTGAATCCACCGATCCATATTTATCAGATCGTCTTTGGTGAGGTAAAAAGAACCTTTTTTCCCCTCTAATCGTCTTGGTATATTCACAAAGCGATGCTGTTCCACATCGCGATACACCTCACGTATATAGTCAGGGTATTTTGTCAGCAGTTCCTTGAATCGCTCACTTGTTATCCTGTCGCATTTATCCTTGTCTGATATTTCCCGCTGCCCCTCAGATTCGTCGACGAATGGCACATTATGCCCCCCATCCTGGCGTTCCTCATCTCCGCTGTCCATTTCTGGGGATTTTGGACGCGGCGGACGTTGTGAACAGCGCTGTGAAGAGGTTAATAAATTGTTGACCCAAGCAAGCATACCTAGTAAGACCTCTATGCTATTGTTCTACTGAAGCAGTCGTCTCTGAGTGCTGCGTGTGCCAGAATATTTTAAGAGGGTGTGAATGCGAGGGCGGTGAGCTAAACTTGGCTCTCTATGCTGTCATCATTTTGCCTCTGCTCACCACAGTGTCTTACCGGAGATCTATTAAAGCATCGCTCGTAGTTAGTAGACAATTCCCTCTCGGTATATGACATGCATTAGAATTGTTGCAATACTGCTTTACAACTTAGGCCGGCTAAGAATATCGCTCGCTTAATTTGCAAGTACTTACTAATTAACACCTAATAGAGTACAACTAGATATAGCTATATATAAAATATTACTTAATCAAAGTAATTATTAAATATAAATATTAAAGTAGTTATCTAATATAACAACAATTAATATAGATAATATAGTAGTAGTTATTCTTATCATATAGTTAAGGTATTTAGCTATAACTAATTATAATGCTTTTAAACCCATATTTATTGCTACGTAAGTTCTTGTATATACTGGGTATATGATAGGACTAAGGCCATCTGAGGAAAACCTTTGGCCACTCCAGGCGCCACCTTTGGCCAACCTAGGTGGCCTCCAATTTCAACCAGCCACATGCAGTCATTATCTGAATTCTGTGTGACAACGGAAAAGCCGAGTAGCTGCATATACGACAGCAGGAAGTATCCGCAAATACCCTACAAAAAATTCATAATTTAACCCAATCATAGACTAAAAGAATATCTCTCCACTCAGCCATGGCGTTGCCTGCTTATATCGGGCACAAATGATATTCAGCGAAACCTCCATTGCATTATACTGTGGCTTTTCTTTTTCAGCTAGCAACGCTCTCCCAATTTGAGGTAACAAATAGGGATCCTAGCAGCTTATTGCTAACTCGAAGCATCACGTCTAGATGTCGGCAAATCCTTCCTCAGGGGTAGGACAGGTGCGGAAAAGACTGTTCGTGTTCTGCGATGGAACATGGCAGGATGGCGTGAACAAGAGTCAGCCCCCCACAAACGTCGGCACGCTCGCCCGATGCCTTGAGGGTGTATCGGAAGATAATTATCTCCAGATTGTCTATTATGACAGCGGAATTGGGAATGGAACGAGCTGGTTTGGCCAGCGGGTTGACGCTGCCACGGGGAGGGGTGATTTCACCCAGCCTTGAAGCACATCGGATCATTTACTAATTGGGTACCGAGCAGGCATCGAAGCCAAGATCAGAAACGCTTTCAGCTTCCTCTCCCACAACTATACCTTCGGGAAGCAGGAGAGCCCACCAAATGATACAGGACAAGACGAGATAATTCTTGTCGGCTATTCCAGAGGAGCCTTTGCGGTCCAGTGTCTAGCCTCATTCATCAGTCAGACAGGCTTGCTTGAACCGCAACACTTGTACTATCTTCGCGGGTTGTTCACGTTGTGGGAGAACCGTGATTTGACGCCGCTAGGACGGGGTCCAAGGACACCAATACAGATAAAATTGAATGAGGAAGTTGACGGTTTCTTGACAGCGCGCATCCTGCACAAGGTGCCAATCAAAGCCTGCGTTTTATGGGATACCGTTAGTAGTTTGGGGTCTTTGATCCCCCGGCCGAGACGCCTATCGCATGTGGGAAATACCGTGCCCGAGGCTGTGCAAAATGCATTTCAGGCTCTTGCACTAAATGAGACCAGAACACAGTTTCAGCCGTGCATTTGGAAGTCAAAAGAGAACAAAGATACGTTCGCTAAACAGTGTTGGTTCCTGGGCTCGCATGGAGATGTGGGCGGTGGCCAAGACGCCGCCCTCGGAGCTGTCACACTTATATGGATGATCGGTCTGTTACAAGCCAGGACGGGTACAAAGTTCAGTCTGGCGGAGATCGGAAAGCATCTGAGACACAAGCTGTTAGAATGGGATTTCCATGTTAATCATATCACCGGTCGTTTGACACAAATTACCACCTTGACACGGATGTCAACCTTGGGTGAGTGTTTTCGTCCCGAACACTCAGAATCTTGACACATATTGGAAGTATCGCCCACTCATCGTTCTAACCAATACCCATTTCTGCAGGCCAAGCAACCACAATGTCACCTCTCTGGTGGATCACGGGGATGAGGAACCGACAGATTGTGTACGAGGCTGGCCAAATGGACTCCAGATTCCAGGTCTCTATATCAGTCCATTTCACAGTGCGTTTTGCTATGTCAAAGGATTCGCATGCATGCCCAGTACTGCGAGATTGGAAAACCACGCCGCAACCTAACGGTGTTGTACTATGGGAAGGACAGAATAGCGTGCTTCTCGAAGAGGAACTTGACGAAAAGAATATTTCGAGTCACGAGTACAAATATTTGAGAGATTGGTGCGACGACAATTTTCCTGTGCTGCAGACCGATAGGGATCGATTTGCAGAACAACACCAAGCCGATATCCAAACTCCAGGCTCCCATGAAAGCCTCGATTCGTTTCTCAGTCTTTTAAGAGAATGCTTGATCTTCGAAGAACATAAACTTGCCCCTGGACGACACTATAACACTTGGATTTAAGCAATAGTGTTATGGACCAACATTTGATACCCAGACGTGTAGTTAGACAATAAATCTATTGACCCCTGCAATAACTCTCTACAAGCGGATGCTTAGTAAGAGGATTACCTATTTCGGTAACTACAGTGGGCGGCTCGAAGCTATTCCCCTCTACCTAGACCAGGTATTCCCCTGCTAGTGTTCCACACGTCCGCTTGAAGACATGAGCAATAAGAACTGACCGTACGTCCGCGTTCACGATGAAAGGAGCTATGGCCCCCGACCGTCCGCGGCGGCGAGTAGTGTGGCCCTTGACCTCTCTCGTCACCGCCGTGCTCCTCCTGCTCTTCGCCCGATTCAGCGCCGTCGACATCTTCCCGCTCCGTCTCGTATCCGGCCCGCGGACTCCGATTTCTAACGCCGCTGCTTTCGAGACCTGTTCGTGGAAGACACTGCAATCGCACACGGCACTTCTCGATGTCCCGCCAATCGCGCGATCCGACTTCATTGCGCGGCAGCGTGTCCTCGCAAGCGCACTGCGTGCCGCGCGCATCGATGCCTTTGTGGCCGAGCCGTCCGCCTCCAGCACCTACTATGCCAATATCTCCGCGGCATTCCACCTCTCAGAGCGTCCATTTCTCATGATAATTGACAGCGACGCGTCTTTCTCGTATCTTGTGCCGCAATTCGAAATCGGTCGAATTAATGTCGAGTCACAGCATATGGTTTTCGATGGTGATACCGAGAAAGCTGCTATTCCATGGGCAGAAGAAGAGAATCCTTATGCGGTGCTGGCTCACCGTCTAAGCCCGCGCAAGAGGATTATGGTTGATGAGCATTTGCGTCACATGATTGCTGGGGGGCTAGAGGCGGTTGGAATAGAAGTTGTGCCGATGAGTGACGAAGTCCGACGGCTCCGCACCGTCAAGACCGAGTCAGAGATTGCTATATTAAAAGGAATCAACGGCTTTACACGACAGCTTGTGCGTGCCTTGCAAGGGTGTTTGCACGTCGGTCTCACTCAGGAGGATGTCGTGGACACAGGGCGAGCCCTATTTGCGCGGGCAGGCGTTGAGGAAGGATTTTGGGCGATTGCACTCTTTGGACCGTGGGCGGCGTATCCCCATGGGGGCAAGAGCGGCGCTGTCTTGCGAGAGAACGAGTTTGTGCTGATCGATATCGGCAGCCAGCTGCATGGGTACGGCAGCGATGTTACTAGGACCATCCTCCCGCCCGGTGGTGTCGTGAGTGACGAGTTGATGGAAATTTGGCAAACCGTGCGCAGAGCACAGACAGCAGGGTTTGAGAAGATGCGACCAAACGAGACGTGCCGCAGTGCTGACGCCGCATCGAGAATACCAGTTAAGGAACAGGGATATGGCCCGTATTATACCCATCGCTTGGGGCATGGGCTGGGACTGGAAGTTCACGAGCACCCATACTTGAATGGCGCAAACCATGAAAGATTAGCGGCTGGTGTGGTGGTTACGAACGAGCCAGTAGGTTGCTAAAGAGAATGTTGAAGGAATAACGTGCAATGCTGACAAGCTGTAGGGCATCTATGTGACGAACGAACAGGCGAAGGAGCTTGGCAAGAGTGAAGGCTTCGGTGTCAGACTGGAGGATCCCATTCTTGTGACTGAGAATGGCGGCGTACCCTTGACGGGGCGGCGAGCAGAATCACCTTGGGATCCATGAAGCGAACCAATGAGCACTATATGCCACTATCTAGCATCGAAGTGGCGGTCTGGAGTTGAATAGTTGCGAGATAATGCCTTATACTATTCTGATTGCTCACAAAGCTGCCTCGTTCTATTGTTCAAGTATGTAGGTGAGACCTCTAGCGGATCAATTACACCAAACTCACTAAATTAAAGGGTAGCAGGCTATGAATCTTAAACCCGAGTCTCTCAACGAACGATATGTTCAACAATATGAGGCCTAAACTATGATCTCTAACCCCAGCGCTAAGTGAGCGTCAGTGGAGATCGCATTTCTACCCTCCGCCATAGTTATATTCCTCTTTCTAGTAGTTATCAAGCATTTTGTATCTTAAGGCTTGTTGATGGCATCTAGCTATTGGTCGAGATGAGGAAGGGCACCTCTCTTTCTGTATCCTCAGCACTGGTATAGCCCACAGTCTGGCGTGATATGTTCGCAGACCCCTAGACTTGTGGTGTGCCTTGGCCGACGGCACTGCTGACCTGATGGTACATGCCGCTGCGACCAGAGTCCAAGCTGGCGACCATCTTGCGCCGAGTTAAGTTACCGCATCTAACAGTAACACCACCGACATCTCTGTGCTATGTATTTTTGGTGTGGTGTAGATAGGTTACTTAGATAGATATTCAAGAGACAAAAAGTGGATAAAGGTACTGGCGTATTAAATTGGTATACATTTTATACTCAGCCATCCAAGGTGCCGTTCGCGACGTTGCCACCCCCTGACCAGAGCTTGCCTCATTCACTTCTAGCGGTAATACTCCCAGTAGATAACCAATTGCAAATTTTCGCGTTGTGTAGAGCACCCCGATCCCCGTGACTACTCTGTTTTTGCGGCCAGTCTAATCACTTCGTGCTTTTAAGCTAGAGATTGAGACGAGAGCTTCGTCAATCTAGATTCGCGCCCTTATAGAGACAAAAGCATTTAATAAATAAAAAGAAAAACGTAGTAGATACTTCAGGGCATTTTCGCGTACCGTAATCTCAACACAATGCGCTCCAAGGCAATCGAAGAGGCCGTGGGGACGGTGTGATGCAATCTAATTGCTGTCGCTGGCAGGCAGGTCCTAGTTCTCTAGCCCAACTTCTGTGTAGGTCATCACCACGCATCCACTCCCTTGACACGATAGCGCGGCTACTTAATTGTCTGTGGCTGTCACGGATATGTCGGGTTTGGAAATGATGGATGATAGGACGTCGATATAGGTGCGACCGGAATATGATTAATTAGGCTGTCTTGTCCTAGGGACTGAAGATGGTCGAGTCGGCTTAAGTGATAGCCTTTAGGTAAAGCAGACGATTCTCTTCACCTACACAAAGCTAGGCATCTTCACAGATTAGATAGAACGTTGTAGTGAAATGCGGAATTGAATAATGTTAGTTTAGGGATCGAGGGCGTGGTAGTCCAAGTGCTTGGCAGAATGGAGTGTATAGGTAGTATGGTAGATACGATTATAGACATAACCTGGCTTGATTTCTCCGTTTCAGTTTCTCACTTGTCTATTGAAAAGGCGTGAGTTGACATGAGAGGCACATGCTTCATACGGTCCCAAACGTTACTGGCTCAGACGGCTTATGAAACACAGTATCCGTTTGGAAGAGTTTCGTTAGAATATTAGGGTGCCAGATGTCGACGGACTATAAGTCAATCAATAGCGGAGAGACTTTGATTGTAATTTTCTTCTCGCCTCGGGACGGTGATTTTATTGAGGTAAGGGTGGCGAGGAAACTGTAGGAGGTTCGCAGCGTGTTAACTTCATGAACAACCACCTCATCAGCCTCTATTACAGCTGTTGGGTGCAGGGAGGCATATTTGCATTGCCTGCATCGAACATAAGGAGATCTAGTCTTACGCTCTACGCCGAATGACTGTCATGTCACCGATCAGGGACAAAACGTCCGGCACAATAGAGCGAATGAGTTCGAGGGAAACAAAATGCGAAGTTGAGGGTCACGTAATATATCGACACCCTATAGGGTACACAACTACACCTGCATAATATACAAGAATATGCCTCCAAATGCGACAGGCTCTTGAATGATACTGTGAGCTGACTTTGATAGGCGAAATACTAACACAGCGGTAGCTAGATCATACCTTTCCTACTTTACCATTGCTTCGAGTTGTATACTTGAATGCAGCCGCATGCTTTCCAGAGCTAAACTCTATCTTTATTTAGAGTAGCTGTTGAGGGATAATGTTACGATTCTAGGGCTACAGGCAAAGATACTCGCTATATGTTGCCTGGGCTAGGCACGAAGGCTTCAAAATTTTCGTGCAACAACAATTGCCATACACTATCCCTATGATTGCAGTTCTCAAAAATACTATACACTAAGCAGGCTAAGGTAACGTCACTTGAGGGTGCATATCATATTGCTTGCTGCTGACTCTCTCCCCAGCTAGCCAGTAATGAAGTAGCATTATCTCTTCCTGTCCATCAGAGGCGAAGGATCAGAAGCCACACCGAGATACTCGGCTGAGAAGTAAGTGGCCAGGAAGAAATATGACTTACCTTCTGAAACTTGTCATTGGCCCATGCCTTGTGATCGTTCCGATATATTTATAGCACGGTGTACCAACAGTGGAGGAGCTGAGGTTTCGTTGACATTAAGATCACAATGCTTAGCGTTACTGGTTTATTAATGGGATGACAGGCAGAAGTCTAAGTACACACCGAGTTTAATATCACTAGGATAGACACATACAGGGAAGTATTGTACTGCTGTTTTCTAAAGCAACCAACACTATGTGTTTACCTAGGTGTAAAGACGCAAACAGACAAGAAGTATGGTTTACTTTTGAAAGTATTTATGTTCCTCATAGTTACCCACTGTCACCGACTTACTTATGCGATAACTCGGAGACTGTTACGGGACTAACTAAACCTAAGTTCCGATATACAGCGCAGACTCAGAGATACTTTATATAAAATCTAAGTAAAGGGGCAAAGTAGAAACTATAACTCCCCTCCTTGTACTATAACAATAAGTTTACATTAGAGTACAGCTGGAGAGCACTGTGACAAACACCATTGGTGTATAGAGCCTGAATCTACAATATATTTTACAAGATGGAAGGACAAGAAAGTTAATTTCGCACTGGGTGTAACGTACCGTAGCAACCCGACATCCTTGACCGAGAATGAAAAATCTCGCTTAATTATGGCATCTCACTGAACCCATACGACGTAAGCTGATAGGGTTACACGACAGATGAAAATCGGACCTTACCAGCTACTCAAATTACATTAGACTTCATTATGAAAGCAAACATCGGCACTTCTTACCTGATATACTCGAGCGATCGACCCAGCGAGGCTAAGATACGTGTTGGTTGATGTTGTCTATGTTACGCCACGGCCTCCCTCAATGACAGTCTATTTTCATTCGGTACTGGTATTATTCAAACCAATACTCTTTCAAGAATAATGAGGAGTTATTTTAGCATGGCTAGTCCTTATATCCTTGGTATTGAGAGGTTAAGAAGAATGGATTCCCAGTAAAGAGGTCTCTCTTATGAATGCTTGCTATATGTAGAATTACATTACTTCTTGCGTCAACTAGTAGGTCCCGTGAGTGGAAACATGAATGGTTTCCTTTGACGCCACCTCATAATTAGCTCTTTTACTGTAATCTTGTAGTTGTGGCATGAATTTTCTTGATGATAGCTTTGATCTCTCCTCCTATAGAGACAACCTCTGAATCGCCTAGTTTGAGAGGTTGGCTGAGATGATGATACCCCTTGCAGAGTAGCTACGTCATGTTATAAGTCATGAGACCTTTTTCACTAGACGAGGACAGTATATTTTATCTGGAGTCTTTCCTGCGTGGCAGCTGCTGTCCTGGAAGCATTCTCGGAGCCTGCTTGCATGGGGTTATCGTCCACCTGTAAGCCACACAGTGTATTAGATAGTATGATAATACAATAGCTGCGTCCAGAGAGCGACGTATATTATTATACCCATGAACCGCAATATGCGTTAAGTATCAAGGCGTGGCGTCATGATTCCCTTCCCCATCTCCCTTTCCCCTCCCCACCGGGCGATATATTGCAGATGCCGCTTTTGAACTGAATATGCATGGTGGCGTTACTCAAAACGGATCACCCATAAGAGATAACACAAGAATAAACAAAACCCCTCGAAGACCGGCAGGGCGGGGTTGCTGCCGGTAGTGTACTAAATCAAACGCCAAGGAAGCCTTGCCATATGGCCACACCATCACATCAATCAAGGTCAAGTGCTCATGAGATACCGCACCACTGGTGGTGGACCATGTTCAAGATCAAGTGCGGCAGAATATTTAGCGAGTCACTCTGCCGACAGCTTTTGAGTGACCGGGGTGAAACGAACAACGGCCGGCTATCCAAAGTCTACCCACAGTGGTGGAGGTGGATATTCCGCGCTTGACTTACCTAGTTGGCTTCAAATTCATGTGAGCCATTCAACATGCCAAGATTCCAACTGTCTAAGCGCCAGCATACATAGAATAAGACGTAAAAAAGCTACCTTGCTTTGACTTCTCTCACTTTCCTTCCTCTTGCTGCGCAAACAAGCGACATATTGATGGAAAGATAAATGTGAGACTGAGAGATCTGTCGCAGCATGCTACCAGTTAAGATGATGGCTTGCTTGACTGCTGGACCATTCATCTCTCCCCACGTTTCCCGCTCCCACAAAAATACACCCCTAGCTGCAGACAATGCAACACCGCATTGGTGATAGTAGTTTTCTTCCCACTTTCTATTCGGCATCCCTCCTGTATCAGATTCACGATTCGATAGCCGTCATGCCACTCGCGGGCCGCAATAGTACTACCCGTGATTGCGAGATCGTATCTTCGGTGAGCTAGGCCATTGTAAGTTACTGTAGATCTAGATATCGTCAGTGTAGGCGTTGCATTGCAGAATTGATGCGCAGTAGAACTTGACCCGGTAGCCAGGATATTCCGAAATGACAATCGTGAGACACTTTTAACTGACCTTTATCCTACTGGTTGGGTTCCTCAGGTTTTCTGTTTAGAATTCCCTTCCAGCACATTTACCTGATGGCCCTTTCTGTGTTTCTCGACTCCCTCAAAGGCCCATATAATTGTATTCCAAATTATATCCATGTTCTTCTTGAGGCCCTGTGTCAATCAGTATCGAGCGTTATTGATCCGCGGTCCTATCAAGCCTTGTAACAACCTACCGATTACCTAGCGATCTTGGCCTGTGTGCCCCCTTTCCTATTTCTTGCGCCAATGCATTTCGTGCTATGATTATATCTCTCGTATCACACCACTTTTCTTTGTGTCAATACAGTAAGTATGATCCTCGCTTTCTCATGCCCGTTGCCCACTGATGGCATCTTTCAGAAGGAGGCCCCCCCGAGAAGGGGCCAGTCTTGGGGCCACGGCCGCCCCTCCTCATGCATCCATAAGCAAGGGCTCTTAAGACCACACTCGCCTAGTTTCGGTAGCCTGACTGACCTTGTCTCTCTAGAAAGTGTGGTCCGCGGCATTCCCAGTGGGCCCCTAGCAAGCGGTTTGGTTTCCCATGTCGAGTCTGTACCTGAGTTCATAACAATATGGGATACGGCTGCCTATATCGGTACTTTAGCAGCTTAAGCAATGAGTCCATACAAATGCCGACTGAGCATCGAGATGTATCTCTCAAGACCCAGAGGTACCGTCTCCACCTGTAGGACTTCTAATAGTATAGCAATAGGAAGATGGATGATTTTAAAGTTGCCGGATGGTTGGGTGCGGACGAACCAATTGCCCGAAACGAAACAGCCCTAGGCGTCTATCGAAAGTGCACTGGCTTTATAACACAACGACTGTTGGCTGTCACCCTGTTCCAAAAATAAAACGAGGGTACCCCTTTTGTTTGCACTCTCCGCATGCCCTCTTATACACCAGCCAATACGACAACGTCGACAACGACGAAGACACAAGCAGCATCACTAGTCAAGTCGCTTATAACCGCTCTTGTTAACTCTTATCCAAAATCGAAGAATGCCTCCTCGCCGCTCGCATCGTCGTTCTCGATCGCCTGGTGTTGATGCGCAGGAACCACGTCACTCTCGTAGACGCATGAATGAGTATGCGGATGCAGTTTCGATCACCGAATACGAAACCAGCCATGCACAAGGCAACGTTGATCCACAAACTTGGAGATCGCATAGCCTAACTTGGGTTGACGATCCCACAGCCGCAGCGCACTCTGATGATTTGGTCTATAGTAACAGTGTTGACCATGACCTCATGTTGGAGCCGGAGTGGCCGCTTCTCAACGCAAACGACCAGAATGAAACCCTCCGTGGTGGCAACTACCATTCTCAAGCTCAAGTGTAGGTACTTCCTGCGTACGGGTAACTACGTTAGACTGATGGAGTAAACTCTGTAGCAACTACAGTGATTCCACTTGGGAAAGGTTGACAGCCGGTTGTCGATACAATCCAAATAGCCAGACTGCCTCCGATCCATCATCTGAGTTTCAACCAGCCCAGCATACCCCTCCGGCCCATCCAGATTGGACCTTTTGGGAAGATGTTTCCATGGATCGAGCATATCGACGGCTGTCTATGAGGGCTCGCCAGGGCTCCGGGGTGTACGTTCTCCTTCTCTTGGGCGTGAAAGCATCTGAAGTAGTAGGAGCTAACTTTTGCGAAGGCAAATTTCTGACCTCGAACCTTATGGCAATGGAGCCGTGTACAATTCGACGAACCAAACCGGGAACATTGAAGAGAATGATAGTGGCGAGTCTGGTGGAGAGATTAGCCCCGTAGACGAGAGCCAATACATCCATGACTACGTGACTGCCGAAAATGACCCCTGGTCGCCCGAGTGCCTTCGCCGCCCTACAAACTCTTCTGATACCACTCATACCTATTGGCTGCAGTGAGGGTATGGAGAGTGGGTAATGTAGTACGATATGCGGCTCAGGATGTTCTTCGTATTGGGGAGTAAGCAGGTTATACTCTTCCATGCTACTCTCAGGCTTGGTATTCCTCTCTTTGGGAAATCTATCACCGTGATGGAGTTGATATGCGTTTATGCTCCGCTGATTGGAACGGAGAGGGAAAAGAAAACAAAACAAGACAGATTATTGTTAAGGGTTTGCGATTCTTTATACATGATACCATATTTAAGAAATCTACAAAAACTCCATTTTGCGCGATGAGAGAGTATCCTATACACCCGCCACTAGAGATGGCAACAGCGACATTTTGTATTCGGATTTGGTAGCCTAACCGGCTGCCTCTAGGACAATCAACTACACCCAAATAGTACAATATGTTTCACTATGGAGTGTGCTACTGCGTATCGATGGCTCCGGCATTCGTTGGCAGCCCCTGCATGTTCTGATAGCAATGCCTTGGTAACGCCATTACGAGACATGCAACGCGCCGTATATCAAATTTCCTTCAAGAATAATGCTACTATGAGAGGGTAATGAATAAGTTCTAGCCAATTATCAGCGTAGGGACATCGTGGGTGTTCCATTTTTATCTCCATCGTGAGTTTCATGGGGCAATATTACGCCAAGTCATTGATAATCGTCGTATTGAGTTGAGTGGCGGTAAAATCATAGGTGGCGATTTAGTTGTTTAGGTATTCGATGGGTGTATGCTCGTTCCCTGCACAGCCACATTGTTAGGAATCTGAGACATCCGCAACACCTCTAATTAGCTGGGAAAGCCGATGCCGACACAGCCTCCAAAACAGTAGTTATGATGGCGAAGGTAACATCTACGGACAAACGGAGACATCTAAACGTAAGACGGATTTCCCCGATCTTTTGTATCCAAAGCTTGCCAGGCTCCTGGGAAATGAGGCATTCGCAATCAGAGAAAGTATCAATATTTGGCTCAAGGAAGAACATGACAATATGTGAGGAGTATCATAATACGCACGCGCATATTTGTGCTAATCTGACGAACGTCTCCAGTAGGATGTAGTTTATTTACTAGTAATAGAACGAAAATCATTGTTCTCCATGTCATTGTAGGTAAGTTTGATTCCTCATGGTATTTAGGCATTAACGTAGGTTTTAGAGGGACATGGAATGCCTTGAAGGTGTTTCGTGTCTAATCAACGGTAGCCGGATATCTACCATCTTGAACGTAGGTGGGGCTATATAATAACTGTTAGACTGCTCGAACGTCTAATAACGGCGTCGTTTTTGACGTTCGAGATACCATTACTAACGCACTGTTTTCAAATAGCTGATTATGTAATTATATAAAACTCGCCCTCTAGGTAGCTAAAATAGGCGCACACCTAGAGCCAAGCGTATTTGAGCTCCGAGGGTACAAATAAGTGTCAACATTATTCCTTGAGTTTACCTAGATAGCTGAGATATGCCACAGCTACATAAAGCACCGAATCGTCACTATTTTGCGACCGAAAACGGTCAACTACCAACGAATAGGACGGTGTACGTAGGTTAGTACAGGGGATACTACTTATAGGTTGCACTTCTGGATATTCGCACCTTAACTGTCATCATTTCACCTAGATCATCATTGTTATGTCCGCTACAACTTAACGAGTCAAGCGGAACGGACTATTCTTTCGAACGCTATGATCATATGAAAAAGTAAAAAGTCGAATGGCATCTTGAGTCACGGCTTGGTTGGTTTATTGGACCGACCTGAATTGAGGATGAGCTGCGGCCATACATGCTAGACCAGCAACGAAACGCGAGATGCATGCCGCCTCTGGCATCTAATTTCGCGTTATTACATCTACCCGTATCAGTTGCACTGTTAGTTAACCTATACCAACGATAGATTTCGCCTCTCGCAATTTTCAATTGCACCGCTTGTGTAAAACTCAGCCAGTAGGCAACGACTTCTCCTATCAGATTTCCCAGGGGTCACTAATTAGCTCTTGAGTAATAAAAGAACAGCGCACACTCAGATGCCATTATAGCAGATAAGAAAGAAAACGAGTCAGCGATAATCATCACAAGACGAAGCAAGGATGGTCTCCAACCAGCTCAACGAATCTGTCATAGTTATACATTCTAAGATACAACTCTCGCCGCCGTACTGCGTCTCAATGGTGCATACTGCGCATACCATAGATCTGAATAACACGGACGTGATATTCAAAGAGATGATGCCCTCCGTCTCTCTCGGATCCCACTGAGAATCTACCCTGACTCTTATTAAACCCAGAGCAATGCGCCCAGAAGTTCGTTTCCAACCCATTGCTAATCCCGCTACCCATGCATGTGTCCCATCGATTTGAGAACATCACGGATCTCAAATATGCTTTGGCCTCTTTCAATTTGCAGAAGCCCAATTTTCCCATAATTGGTCGCACAATGTTCTGCTTCGAATTTACATCTCGGGAGGATCGTACTTGCCACGCCCCCCGGCGGTATAGATTTTGATTCTAGCCTTTTGTGTAACATACAGATATTTGCGACTCTCTAGTCTCGAATACTTGTGTAATATTGGGTTGAAGTAAAGAGACCGATGGTTAGGCAATGGGCCTTGAAGTAATTCCATTACAGATCTTGATGAGCTCCAAAAGCAAAAGCCCAACCAGCGATAGGGTGTCGTACGCTTTTGACCCACCGACATTGGATGCCTGTTCCAAGTCGGTACCCATACGAGTGCTGGTGCTGGGTCAGGATCCTTAAAGAATGGTCTCTCGCTCCTCTTCGGTCATATCTGACACTTTCACCGACCGTGAAATCGATCTGTAGACACCAAATTCGAGCGGGAGGAAGGAAGACAACTGCAAGGGTGCGTGGCCAGCGTCGTCACCGCGACTTAACAAAAATCGCAGTTGCTCGTAGTTCGAGACCAGGGATAGGTCATATATCTTTTCTAAGCCGTTTAAGACAATAGCCTTCGCGTAAGGCGAAGAGTAGGACTCGATGTACGGAACACGTAGAAAGCCCCAGGCTATGTCGCGAACAACAAGCGATTGAAAGCTGCCGCCACGTTAGGCACAATAACTTGACTCGTAGATATTGGGATAAGTTACGTAGGGCGACTACCCGCACTAAGTATTCGTAGATACTTGCAAGCTGTTCGAGTTCCTACATAGCGAAGTGGTCAAAGAACATCGGCACCAGTGTTTTCCCTAAAACTAGGTCCATAGAACCGACGATGTTGCAGTACAGCTGGAAACGATAGAGGGCTCGCTCAGTGCGACATAGCTCTGCATCATCTGGCCCCGCTCCCTCGGGTATAATGCTGCCTCCAAACATTCGTAAGCATACCGAATCGCGAGGTAGCTGACTTATGAAAGCGAACTAAATTCAAAACATCGGTGAGGTTCTAGCTCGTGGGCATTGGCCGCCTCTGCTTGAGATTCCCGGCGGCGAACTCGAGTCCCTTGTCTATTGACGGTGTACCCAAGATGTCCACTTGGATATGGTGGGTTTGCTCGAAGAGGCGCCTCTTGGTGAGTAGTGACTCGCCCTGCTTGAAGGCATCAAACAGGAAAGGACAAGAAAGAGCGGCGTCTCCCAAGGACTCCAGGTCGAGATATGAAAGTACATGCTCGACTAATTCAGGTGGGAGCTGCTGCAAAGGCATGATGAGATCATGCATCACCACCTCACCATCTCACCATCTCACCATCTGCTCGCAGTTATGTATATACTACCTACATGTAAATAGGTAGTACGGAGTATGCCGGCAGTCAAAAAGAAGTGCCCCGGCCCTGTCCCGTTAGCTTCCCTTTCCCAGGGCGCCTTGCCGCCGGCTGGGGAAGCTTGCAATCACTAACTCCCAAATAAGGTAGGTGCAGAATCAATAGCCCCCCACCTGCGCAGGTGGTCATGCCTGGGTTTTAGTGGCTCTGACGACAGCTGTCACTTCCATACTAGGTATAAGTACCTACTTACTTAAGTATACTTATACTTCCAAGGTTAACTAGCATGTAATGTAATGTACAGTACCTACATCCAGCAGAGATGGCTTGATCCAGGGCACGAGTTCATGTCCGCCTCAGATGTGATTTCAGCTTCAATCACGAAGACCTACACTCTACTCTCGCCATAGACGCCCAACCTTGATCGACCTACTGCGCACGACCCCGTTTTGCATGCGCGATTCATTCATTGTGTATATAGCCCTTTCCCGCCGCCTCGGGATCCTGCAGCGCTCGCTCTATTCATTGTTGCCTGTTCCACCAACCAACAGTCGGTCAACGGTCAATTAGAAAGGTGTCGCGTGTTTACCGACGAGGAACCCGCGGCCATCTCGCGATTCCAATCATTGCCGCGCTACGTCACAATACCTAGACTAATATCGACATCGGAGACGATAGCTAGCCCGACTCGAGCCCTCTGTTAGAGGCTGGTCCTCTCTGGGATATGCCGAATTATTCGGCCATCACACATGGGGCCACTACCTCGACCGCTGGCACCAGTGCGTCCGACGACATGACCAGGTATGTGTGCTTTCTTTGCACCGGTGCCTGGTGATGCTGTTCTAACTTGCACTCCTTTACCCTCTAGAACTCGGAAAGGGAAGCCTCACCCCAAAGATGGCGGTGGGGGATCTGCTACCATGTTCAGCAGCGTCACCAACTTGCTCAACACTAGTATGTTACGCAGCCTACAGCCCGACCAACAAGCCCCCGTTCCCTAGCCTCGATCCCTAATATCTTCGTTTTAGTCCTCGGCGCTGGCACCCTAGCCATGCCCTCGGCCCTCTCACACTTTGGTATGGTTCTTGGCGTCATCGTCATCCTGTGGTCGGGATTCACCTCGGCGTTTGGACTTTACCTTCAGTCACGCTGTGCTCGATACCTCGATCGCGGCTCGTCATCCTTCTTCGCGCTTTCGCAACTCACGTATCCAAATGCCGCCGTTATCTTCGATGCCGCGATAGCCATCAAGTGTTTTGGAGTGGGGGTCTCGTACATGATCATCATAGGAGATTTGATGCCAGGTGTTGTGGAAGGCTTTGATAGCAGCGCAACATCAATAGCCTACCTCATGGACCGAAATTTCTGGATTACTGTCTTCATGCTGCTTATCATTCCTTTGAGCTTTCTTCGCCGTTTGGATTCGCTCAAATACACGAGCATCATCGCTCTGATCGCTATTGGATACTTGATTGTGCTTGTAGTCTATCATTTTGCTTCTGATACTCTGGCACCAAGGGACAAGATCCGGGTCATTCAATGGGGCGGACCCGTTGAGGCCCTCGCTAGTTTGCCCGTCGTCATTTTCGCCTATACTTGTCACCAGAATATGTTCTCGATTCTTAACGAGATCAAGAATAATTCTCCGAAAAGGTACTGTTGCAGATGTTCCTTTTGCTTTAATCACTCCAAAATTGCTAATTCTTACAACAGTATACTTGGCGTGATCTCTACCAGTATTGGCTCTGCTGCCAGCGTCTATATTCTGGTTTCAATTACTGGTTACTTATCGTTCGGTAACGATATTACTGGTAACATTGTTTCGATGTGTATGTGCCCCCTTTTTTAGCTTTTTAGTTCCATTGACTAACTAAGTTGTTAAAGACCCACCATCAATCGCTTCTACCATTGCAAAAGCTGCTATTGTCATTCTTGTTACCTTTTCGGTGCCTTTGCAAGTACATCCTTGCCGAGCGTCTGTCGACGCTGTGCTTAAATGGCGTCCAAATGCCATTGCGGGCACCCAAGGTCGAACAAGCTCTCCAAACAGCAGATTACTGCTTCCAACAACAACGCGCTCAGATCACGGCTCTTCAGCACCAATGTCAGAGTTGCGCTTCGCTATTCTGACAACGATTCTCCTCGTGCTAGCCTACACTGTGGCACTAACGGTTACCTCGTTAGAGAGAGTCCTGGCTTACGTGGGATCCACCGGAAGTACTGCGATTAGCTTTATCCTTCCTGGTCTCTTTTATTACAAAATTTCTGATCCGGACTCTATTCACCACCAGCGGCTTGTGAAAGAAGACGACGACGCGTTATCAGTAGCTGCGTCTGATGACGATGACGACGATGTTAACAACGAAAGTGGTGACGGCCCACTAAGCGCGAGTATCTCGAGCATCCGCAGTGGTGCAAGCGGCGCTAACATAAAACCGAAAGGTCACAAATCGCCATGGCGATGGCGCACAAAATGGAGATGGGATATGGAGCACCTTGATCCAGTTCATCTCAGAAGGGCATCGTTAGGCTTGGCCCTTTATGGTTTTTGTGTCATGCTGGTATGCTTGGCCATGAATTTGGTGGGCACGCATGCTCATTGAAAACCATCCGGGAAACTGCTCTGAGTAGCTCTAGGCGTCATGAACAGGACGTACCGAAACCGAGTATATCCGCAATGGAGGACTAAATGTTTACATATCAGGCGCTAATGCATTTTATGGCTGCTTACTATCATTACGCATTTTTGGCGTCTTGGATTCTTTGCTTTCTGTCACTTCTACTTTCCACGTACATAGCCTGCTACATACCAGAAAATATGAGCCAATAAAAGTAATTCCCACTCGGTTTCCTCGGCTGATTCGGGGCTGTTTCCGCTCACTTCGGGAGCCAGGTGTGGCCGGATATGCTCATTGCTTATAGTCATTTGACAACTCGCTTTTATCTCATTGTATCTTACAACGCAAATATCCAGATAACAACAATACAGGGGCGTACGGGGAAGAAGGTGCTGATCTACGTCTTAGATTGACTTGATTCAAAGAAATATATGTCAGCAGAAGTATAAGCCGTTGACCTGAATGGGGGTTTAGACGCAAACACCGTAAAGGCGACAAGATCAGGTTAAGATGCATTCTTATTCTCATGAGAGGGGGCTACATAACAATTCCATCAAACATCCAAATCATTCATATCTCATATCTGCCAAAAAAAAAAAAAAAAAAAAAAAAAAAAAAAAAAAAAAAAGGGGACGGTAAAAGGAAATTATAAACAACAAAAAAAAAAAAACCCCCAACCACCAGGGACGCCCCGGGGGGACCAAAGCGCCGGG